TGCAGAACGCCTGCCCGGCTTGCGACCACTTCTTGGACATCTTGAATAAGTTGGCTGCTCGGAGGTAGCAGTCAACTGCCTCCTCCACTTTTGACGATCCTCTGAGGTAACAAAGGTAATCAGATTTGTGAAACGATTTTTACTTTTTTTACTAACTTTTCTCTATATCTTGGTTCATTGCATATGGGGTAAAATTTAATGAAGATTTATTCACTCTTTGTTAATAATTCCAATAAGAATAAGAGAAACATAAACATATTTGTATAATTAGCTTAACAGCATAGCATTTAGGAGATAAAGAATCAATCACAAATAGAAAATATCTTAATAGGCTGATATCAAGTAAGATTTCGAATATGGGCTACATTTTTAAGTGTTACAAAGATTTGGTTCATCTGATATAATAAGTGAAAGTTTCACTATAGAGTGGGAATTCAGATACATTTTATTGTTTAGAAATATCTGCAAGTAGAATAAACGTTTCTAGTAAATAATATATCAAAGAGATATTAATTAAAGATGACTGTACAAAGTTGAGGGTTCTTAATGATTCATGTCTAGTAATTTACAAATCATAGCTAGTATATAGCATACATGAAAAAGTAAAGCAAATGAAGAGTTACTATGATGTTTGAATGATTAATAAACGATTCAAAATTAATGCAAATAATCATTAACAAATTAAAACATCTGGGAGATAGCAAAATCATTTGATGGTTTATTCGTGCAATTATTACATGTTCAAAATACAACTTATGCATGTATTATAACGTTAAACTTATAATTTAACTGACAAGGTAAAAAGTGAAATCTAAATAATCAACAAAGAATGAACAATCATTGTTCTTACCCAAAAAGAGACCCGAGGAAAGATTTTGAAGAACTTAATTTTTTCTCCGCTTCCGCCATTAGCTGCATCGCCTTTTGTTCATTGTCTGCCATCTTTATGGCTTATTACACTAAACACTATACAAATTTAAATATGAATTAGGAAAAATTTTACAATTTATTGACAAAATGTCGTCACTCCCACAAACTGCACAAAACCGTCGCTGTCATCGATTGATTTGCTCTCGGTGTGACCAGTATCAAAGAAGAAGATTTACCGAAGCGTTCATGTTTTCCATTCGTAAATTTTTTTGTTTTGTTACGAAATACATTTTTTGGTTTTCCTCAAAATAAACGTTACTTGAGGCGAAACCATTTTACATGGTCAATTTAGTGGTTTAAGTATAAAAATAATTTAAACTGAATGAAATAAAAATTTTAATAACATTAGTAACCTGTGCACACCCTAGTGGGCTAAGCGTAATGCTATGAAATCGGGAGAAAAGAAAACACCTCTGCTTTACTTTTTAGAATCAATTTATTTGAAGATCTTGATCTTAGAACACACTCTAAGAGCAAAGTCGACACAAGTAACGGTTCCTCTAGCGACGACTGTCCATGAACTTCGTTCACGAAAACTCTAAGAGGCAGCTGCCACTGTATATTTATGAAATAAATTGTTTATACATTAGGGTCCGCTTGAAAATCGATTTAATCATTATCAAGCTTGGTCTGTGCCCTTCACTTAGATGCTATAGGCGCATCAAATAAGCCGTTTAAGCTATTAGTTTATATATCTTCAAGAAAAAAAGGAATTCAGATGTCACCGGTCGTCGATTAAGAATTTTTTTGTGTGTGAGGAAGTAAAATGAAACACTAATTCAACTTTAATCGTTTATTATATGTTAAATAGACAATCGCTACTATCACGATCCAACAAAACACAATTATACACCACTTTGAAAAGCTTTATTTAGAATATTCTTCGCTCAAGGACAGATTATACATTAGATATACAGAATAGTTTGCTTCTAACAAAAATATATATTTTCACAAAGAATGACACCATATTATATTATTAGGTTGATTTTAATAGTTTACTTCTACAATTTAGCAAGTCACAATTTTTTGGTGTTGTGTGGTTTTAAGCCATTTACAGATATCGCACTATGGTCAAGTTAACCGTAATATAGCGAAAAACAAATTAATTGGTTTTGTTATCGTTGAGACTGTGCTGACTAAAGAAATCTACCAATCAAGGTAGATATTTTTTAACTAGCAACACGTGATCCAACGTTCGCAGTTGGTTCCCATCCTTTTGGATAGAACTCGAATGTTTTTTTACGACAATACAATCTATGGAAAAGTTAAAATTACAAATTGTTTCAGGTTTTTCGTACATGAAAAAACTATTTTCAATTTTCGTCTTAACAATATAATATGACGTCACAAACCGCTATTTTCGCTAAATATAACAGCTATACAATAATCTCTGTAAGATCGCTACTATAATACTGTGATTGTTTTGAATATATGACTAGGGTTGTCGTATTTTCTAGATTATCTAATCAAATCTAACTATTCCACATGAAAATCGTGACGTTTGAGTTGTAGATATTTTTTTAAATGTAGAACAGACTAAACTTTTTTTCATTCTTTTATCTATATAATGACCGTTAATGCATTTAACTTTAGTTTCTACACGATAACTCTACCATATGTAGATATTTTTCAACCAAAGATTTAAATACAAGTTGTTTTGAAAAATATATTTTGACAATGGCGATGTAAAAGGAATCTACATTAAAATTAAAATGATATAGTTACAAATATAAACAATGACATGCTAGCTTTAATGCCTTATAAATAAGCCAACTATAAATTTAAATCTTTGGTAGTAGTGTTACTAGTTATAATAAATCTTGTAATAAAAGTATTTAATTAGTATTGTCAAGGGAATAAGAGGTAAATACTAACATTTATTATATTAATTGCTGATTATTTCTAAACGGTAAAAAACATTAAATATTTGAACTAATTTCCTGTGCGACAAACTTGCCTGGACCCATGGAGGTGTAAAAAAAAGGTTCATAAAAAAACAAAAAGTGCATCATAATTCTTTTATTCATTTCATAAATAAACTAAATTGGGTATCTAAAGGCACGAAACAGCTAGCAAAGTAGCATAACGAAGGTTTTATTTACATAAAAAAACGAAAAAAAACCTTAAAATCATCCATAAAATAAAATGTACAACTAAAAATTTTTCGAATGATGTGTAAAACAATTCAAAAATGAACATTGTTTTTGTATTACATTAAAAATAAAATCAAAACTTAAATAAATAATGCAACAGGCAAGCCCGTACTTCCAAATAAATCAGTCGAATCACACATCACAGTTTTACAATATACGTATGGCCAGTTGGGAAAACATTAAAAACTGTGATTTTCATGTATTTATTACATTTCAAAGCATAAACGTTAAAAAAAACTTGATATTGCATAATATTGCACAAAATACTAATTTCTATTAAATTCAGATATACCAAGATCTCAAATAACTCGCAAATGATATTAAATACCATTAAAATCAATATATAATTCAGCAATTAGAATATAAGTAGATACGAATATACGTTTTAAAATTCAAAATCTCATTCCTATAACATTGGCGATTTCACAAAACACACGTATGCAGTCGAACATAGATTAAATAACTGCAATTTTTAACTGTGTTGCCATCCTATCTTCTTTTGTAACAAAACTACCGAAGTCACCAAAACGTTATGGCAACATTTGACAATACTTTGTGCAAACGGAAAAGTTCAAGCATATCAAAATAATATGGGATTTAAAAATAATTCTTAAGAACATGTATTGTAATAGGAATTACTATGCAGTCTTAAAAAAATATCACATAGCAAATCTTAATTTAAGCATAATAAGGAAATGTTAGCACAAAGTATTGTATTTATTTTGAAATAAACATTTATACACGCAAAACATTAAAACGTAACACTTAGGATGTGAAACTGGGATTTTAAATGTGATTCAAAATAAAAGAAATTAGCATCCGTTAATTTTAATAACAATTACATTTGTTACTATAAATCCAAATATATTGTGTTTAATTTAAACGAAGCAATTGATATTTATTCTACAATTTTAGTAAATTTGAGCTTTAACTGGTAACTCTAAAAACATGGCGGCATGGATCCCTTCTGACAGATTTTCAAATAACGGACCAGCCGCTTGTAAATAACATAGATTAAGTTTTAAAGAGCGGTCAATACGGGTTCAAAGGGGATTGTTGCCTACGCCCTACGTTGGCACTGATGCAACTACGTAAGCACCTAGTCCATATATTCAGTACGAACAGCAATATACATTTATAACGACTAATTTCATAACAATGATAACTTGATACATTAAAATATACACAATTTTACGACAATGTAGGTATAAAATAAACCATCGCAAATACTCTATGATCTATGAAAATGTCCGCAAAAAAATAGCGATTAAACATGGATTTTGCCTTTGAAATCTCTGTTAGCCATTAAAATACGTGTTTCCTAGCATAAAACTTTATATATTTCCTTTATACATAAGATATAAGTATTTTTAAATACATTAACGGGTTTTTAACTACTACACAATTTCACTACAGAATATAAATCGACAAACAGTTATCAATAGATTTCCAACCCCGAATGTTTAAAAATTAAATTCTCGAACCATAGACAAAATGTCGTTAATCTTTGAATCCGTCAAACAAACCACTTTGATATATCATTGAGTTGTCACTTTGGCATTATGGTTGGGAAAAAGCAACGCAAAAAGACACTTTGTACAATTATGGAATGTGTTATCTTTCGCGATTTATTCTCATAATACGCACCATTTCATAATTAAAACATAAATTCATCTAAACTAAACCTGCATTAGCGATCATAACATAATTTACATAAGAAAAAAAACTAAAGATAATTTTGAAGACATCGAACATTAAGTAAGGTTAGCATAAACAGTAACTTTAAAATACACGAAAAAATAATTACTGACTTATGTACAGGCCAATTATAGGCTCTAAGTTAACTAAAACTTCCAAGTGCACCTCATAGCACACAATGCAAATTAAGCTACCTGACCACAGAAATCTGACGATATAGTACTATGCAAACTTTATGAATGCTCGCGATTCAATTTTTTTTTTTAACATAAAGTGGCAAACGAGCACGCGGCCACCTGAATCCGCCAAAATGGCGAAGCGACTGCTGTCCAGACATCCGCAATTGCAAATGCGTTGCCTACCCTTATCGACGGAGAAGATGCACATAAAGAGGATATTTTCCCTTCCTATGCATTTCCTCCACTGTCAAATCCACTTCCTCTTCCCATCCTCTCCTTATAAGAAAAGGGTGATAAAGAGAAAGGGACTAAAATTAGGCTTCCGGCACCACACTTAATATGCAGGACAGCGCCTACAAAGGGCCTACTTACGAACAAGTGTTAACCTCGAGCCAACATAAAGTTTGAACCTTATAATACCAGATATACAACTTTATACCAGAATGCATTGATTTAGCTTATTTAGTCAGGTCGATAATTTGCCAACGAACATCATCGAGATCTTTCATTTTTATTACTTGTTAAATTATGCATTTCATAGTCTTCGGTGACACAGGAACAATTAGGTATCAAAACAACGTAGATAAAAATACAGTACAAATTATGGAAATTACTACATCTAGACAACGTAATTTCATGCTGAATTAACGATTTATAAAAATAAAATTTCCAACTGAATAAACAAGCAAAAAAGAACCTTCGGGTGGGTTAAGACCTAACTTTCCGATGGATCTAAATGATCCCGATGAAGTTCTAATGATTACAAACTCAATATAAAAGATTTCGGGTTTAGCTGAACTGGTTGGTTTGCTGCGTGGGCATGGCTGGGCGCATGGGCGGTATCGCGCCCATCAGCCCCGGGCCCATACCCATTACCATCCCCGGTTGTTGCTGGAAGGGGAAACAATTTTACATTTTACACATAAAAATCTGAATTAATACTTTACGGTCTTTTAACAATAATTAGAGAAATAAAATGTATCGTGACAAAAAATATAAAATTAAATTTTCAGTTTAGATTTTTACAGCCTTTTAGATTTTAAACTGGTTAATAGAAAGTAATACATTTGAAGAACTCTTTAATTTAAATTACAAACAAATTTAA